TGTGAGATGCTGGTTGAGTGCTGCCATCAAGCAAACAATGGTGACACCGGAAAAATCCATGTGTGAAAGCTGTGCCTCATGGTATTAGATTTCTCCGCAAACATCGGATAACACCACGCCAATATTTATTCTATTATGGAACCCACCGCACAAAAAGTGTCACTACCATTTCTCGGACCTCCTTCTCCAGTGCAATCAGGAAGACGATATACCGCTGAATTGTACTTTTAAACTCATGGCCGTCATCATCCCGCATTACAATCCGGCACACCACCACGACTTCTACTAAGATAGCAATCCTTGTAGGTACCACAAAAACGATGAGCGGTGTGCGCATCGTCTGATTCCAAGTCGCGTGAGCGTGGTCACGCCAAATTTCCCCTCTTCCGCGAGAGTGGATAAGCTATACACCGAGGGAATTCCGCGCTTTTGCAGCATGTTCTCGATTCAAAAACAGTGGCCTGCGGGCATAGTAGCCCTGGGGGGCTTGCCGATCCTACCTCATGGATGAGTTTAATGTATAGTCATCCATGCCTGTCCCTTTAGACAAATTCATTGCATGTATTGTTATAAACGTTACTAGCCGTTAACAGGTCAACGTTCCAGGAAGACACGCTAAAACAAATAAATCTGGAATATGTGATACCATTTTATGATAGCTGTGGCATCTATGCGGGTGTGTAGCCCAGAAACGACGGCCGTTTAGGTCTTCAATAGGGCAGGCTGTGAGCTGCAGCAAGCGATCTTCAAGATGCTTATTCAGTTGAAAACCGCTTAAAGCGTAGAATACTCCCTTTGAGTTATTCGATTGCAGATCACATTTCCGTAATAACCAGGAAGTGAAGAATTCATGTCCAACTTTTTATACTATGTGGCACAAGCGCACTTCTTGATTGAAACTTGCACAGCTTGCTTAACATTGAGAACGAATTGGCATTCACTTTACGTGGAAATCGCGTTAATGGACGCCAGATCTGAATACTAGACGAACATACTTGTCCTGATCTTGAACGCCGCTTGGCCTGTGGGGTGGCAGGATTTGAATGGCATTGCTAAGGCGCCCTGCATGCCTGAATGACATTAGATAGTCTGCACGAAAAAGTCTGTACATTCTCATTAGCGTTTAGCTCAGAAACTAGAGGGTTTTGGTCTTAGCAAGGGCAGGCTGCGAATTGGGCCGAATGATCTCCAAAATCACTATTCAAAACCCCCTAAAAATGTGGAACACTGAAGTGCCTAGTGTTTAAGCATCTCAGTGACTTTGTCTACATTTCCTGCGCCAGTATTTCCTTTTGGCTCATATTCATTCAGGGGCGGGAGGGGATCCAAGTCAGCACCGAGGGAGGAGATGGGGGTGGGACCCGGGCCGACAAAAGAATACCAAGTAACAGCCCTGGACGGAGGTTATTGAACAGCGAGAAGTGCCCATATGACACTCTCTTAACTCTTTCGGCCAGGGTAGTTTTTGAACTAAATGCATTCAAAAGGCACATCGCCAGACGAAAGAAATCTTCCTTGGCCCCCTGGACCCCGCCACCAATCCCCCAAATTTAAGTATGCGGGGCTCGCAGGACGAGGGGGGCGAGATACAGCCATTGCACGTTGCATCAAGCCACTGAGATTATGCCGCAGCCAGTGGCTGGGGTTTCTAACAGTCCGAAGGGCTGTGCGCTGATCGGGGGCACCTGGAATATCTGTGTCGGCCAGAAACCACCAGCACTGAATATCCGGCTACGTGTCGGTCCGGGCCTGGGAACCCATATCCAGGGCTAGGCCGGGGCCCACGATTTACATCAGGACGCTGCCCCTGCATCAAATGGGGGGGGGGGGGGGGCTGTGTGAGTGAGGGGCCATGTGTTGACAATAGGCTTAAGTCGGTCAGAGGTATATTTGCTGCACAGGGACAGGGACGGATTCCGGAATGTCATAAAGCTACTTGTGTTTGTCGCAGCTCTGGGACAATTGAAGAAGATGTGATAATTTACGTTAAAGAGTCCACAGTGGGAAAAGGAAAGAGCCCTGTGCCTGCCAGGGGCCGCGGACAGCACGGGAGCCATTCACATCATTACAGCCAAGGATCCGGTGAGTCGAACTGAAGTGTCTGCACGCCAACTTATTGGACTGCTTGCAGCCATATGGGATCCTTTTGAGTCGATACCCCCCCCCCCCCCCCCCACGATCCGGAGACTACTGCCCGGCTCAGAGGGCCTCCCGCGTCAGGGAGTAGACCAATATATGATGTATCCCTCTGAGGTCTATGGATCGAACTGGGGGAGGGGGGGGGGGGGGCAGCATGGCAGCCGATACGTACAGCACGCTGGGACGGAACGGCCCTTTACCACTGAACAGAAAAGATGCTGTACCGCATACCTTACAGTACCATACCATGCTGTACCCACACCCACGGGACTCGGGCTGGCCGGCAAAAGATAAAGCGTCTCCTAAGTGTGCAATAGCGGAGATTAAAATGTAGTGATTTCTTTACTGGCATGGGAAGGCTATGTTTGCATGAGGACGTCCATCCTTTTCTTAGAATAGATAAGTGAAGCAAAGTTTTTCCGAAAAGCATTGAGCCTGCGCGTTTGCAATCTTACGAGAAAGAACACCGTTGCCCGGCGTTGCATTTCCGTCAAACCGGCCGTCCTATGAACAGATACGCAGTTTTAGCAACACGAAAATCAAAGATCCTCCAACTACGTTTCCACTTCCATTGCCTTCGTTTTTATAGTTTTAGTTTTCTCATTGCTCTTGTCAGACCGTTGACCTGTGCTGCCTTACCAAAAAGCCGACGTTCCTCGGTTCATGGAGATTGCAATGCCAGACGTCAGATTTTTGTTTCTCAGACTTGTGAGTGCGGATGTTCAAAGTTGTGTTAAGCGATGTTTTCACCACTCAATTATGCATGATTGATGAACATTGGCAAACAATTATTTTTGGGCAAATGGCCATGTCAACATAGATTTTTGACCCTATTTCGACCAACACTACGTTCACGGGCCCTCGACATCTTTGTAAAATCCCGATAGCAAATCCACCAGAGCTCGTAAATGCCATGTATTTGTAAAGAGTCCACTGAAGTATTAAAAAACGAGCTGTGTCGATGTTTATTCAATTAAATCATTGAACACCTTTTCAGTGCATGCCTTCAAAACACGAACTGTTTAGTCTTTCGGTGGCGCTTAACATCCGTTTCAGTGAAAATGGCTGCAAAATAAAAACAAAATGAAGAAGTTGCACCCTGTGCACCCTGTGCACTCTTCTCCCTACCAAGATTCAAGCTGCACCCCCATGCAAAATCTGGTATATTTTTCAATATGTGTGAAATATAAACATTTTTCAATATGTGTGAAATATAAGACATGCGTAATTACCAGGGGCCAATGCAGCCATCCAGTCGAAAGGAGAAAACTCGAATGAACCGCCCGGAAAATACCGGGAATTTTTCGCACTGTCCCCATGTTTTAACCGTCTTGGGGGAGGGAGAGGAGCGGGCGGGATAACCGCTGGCGCCCTTTGTATCCACCGCAGTCTTGACATTCTGAATCTGCCAGTCTAGAGTCCGGGTCTTCGCAGAGCTCTGCCTTTGGAATTAAGCGTCGCAGGCGCAGCAGTATACGTATCTTTTAACACGCGTCCAGGTGACCGGTTGGATACCCTTCTCTCGGGTGGGGGTAGGAGTCAATTTGACCCCCTTCTGAGACCTCAGGAACTAAAAGAGCTAGAGATACAAAATGCACAGGTGTGTTGACCTATACGGAAACTCACTTAGGTCAAAATTCGATGTTCGTAGGCCATAATATTGGTGTAAAATATGGTCAAACCAGGTCATACTCCAATTTGGTCTCCTAAGGGCACCTAGAATCTAGATAACCCTTCTATGCAAAAGCTCACATGCTCCTCTGAGATCAGTGACCTTGCTTGACCTTTTGAAGATCATGATGACCAAAATAAAAGACCACTTTGAATTTTGCATTTGGATAAGCAAAAAATAATACGCTAGGCAATATGTTCCTAACAACGAAACGTTGACCTGGGTCATTCAGGTCAGTGGCCTATTCTTACCTTTTAGGAGTCTATCGAAGGTGCATAATGCAGTTTCTGTTGTCAATGAATTCGCAATAAGCATCAGATACTACTCCATCCAGCAAGCCCTAGACTAATAAAGCAGGCTGATTGCAGCAGCTCTATCTGACCTTCATACCTGACCTTAGGTCAATGTAATTTGTTCATTCCATTGTTGGGATGCCCAAGAAAGTATCTCAGAGTTGTATGGCTTTGTCTAACATTCCGCTGTTGGATCACATTGAACGATTCTATTGAAACTGCCCTCGCCTCGACGATCCGCCATTCAACTGTCTACTGCTATGCAAAATTTGGCGCGGCCGCGCCGTTGTTCGGAAACTATTCCTGACAACCTTCGGGCGGTGGGGGGGGGGGGGGGGGTCAATTCGACCCTCCGACCCGAGCACGTGTTAACGAACAGCGTCAGATATTAGATCGACCGAGAATACATCCATTAAGATCGTTTGTGCTAAGCCTGCTGTGATTTTAGAAGCATGCATTTTCAACAGATAAATAATCGTTAAGATCCAACCAGCATATATATATATATATATATATATATATATATATATATTTCACACGTTGTCTGCCGTTCTCATAACTCTACAGTATAAACGTGGTTATTTCTGCCGCGACTCCGGCTAATATTTGTGGCAGCAGAAAACTAAACGGGACTCTGAATGTGTATAGGCTAGGTAATTTGTGAGCCATGGTTCAGCACACGTCATTCCACATCGCGCTTTTATGGCTAACATATCTCAAATAGCTGCATAAAAAATGATAACGTTAAGCAGTCCAGGTAAGGAGGCACAACCTAAACGTGCTGTACTTTAGCTGAATATTTTATTTTTTGCCTCTGCCAAAACACCGTAACCGCCGCGTATTTCTTGGTGCGCCAGAAATGCCAGCTTGAAATTGCTTTGGTGGCTGTTGGCGATAGTAACCCAGTTGTACAGATTGAAATGGCCGCTGGGCTATGGGAGTGGTTCCGGAGTAGATAATGCAAAGTGCTATTTGCTGGTGAAATTGGCTTGAGGTGTGTGCTGGATGACATATTTGTCATCGTCTTCATCCTTTCAAGGACGGACAAGATACCTGGAGAGGGTGAAGAGTTGAAATCTCGTCGAGTTCTGGGAGTGCCCGTGGATAGCTGTCGCCGTTCTGCATAAAATGAGGTATCTTAGTGTTAGTAATAGTTAGGACTTAATTTGTACATGTATCTTATGATGTGGCTCAGGATGCTTATGAAGCTGTCCCAGGCAGGAATTACTCTACCGTACATTGAGGCAGCCCATTCATTGACAATTCCTGAATTTTAGAAATGAGTGACCACAGATGATCATAAGTTAGTGCAATGGACATGGTAGCTTGCATATGTAAATTATTTGTTTTCCATGCCTTATGAGTTAAAGGCCTCTGTTTGTCTTGATAATAACCACACATCTGTTTTCTATCATATCGTGCCGGATCAAATCTGGAGCTGTCAGGCTGTCTTTATTGTGAAAAGTGACCTCATTCCTTTCCATGGAATGCTGTTTAGTGGTCATGCAATTGTGTGACTTAATTGACTGAATGTAGCCTTTTGATAGGTTGTCAGTACAGGACAAAATTTGTGTAGTGGGTAAGCTCAGAGAACTGCTAATTATTCACATCTACCATTATGCTTATGGAAACACATCTTGTTTTTTGCACATAGAAAACAGCATTTTGACCTGTAAGCACTCCACAAAAAATACCGCTGCATGCTGTCAAGACATAGGCGGGTTAACAGTTTCAGGTTCATATTTCAGAATTACTTGAAAATGAGACTTAGTGCATTTTTCAAAAAATTGTTTTATTCCTTCAATATGTAATGTGTCTTAAATATGACCAGTTACTGTAAGTCCATGAAAGCAGGTTGGGGTGCATGTGCTTTCGAAGGAATGTTAATTTTGGATGAGCCTATAACCCATGACCGGTGAAATCGACCACCAGATATTTGCAGCCACAGCTCTCATGGGATCAGAAGCAGTCTCAAAATCACAAATGGTCAAAAATTACACCAGTTGATCAAAATGCATTGCTTGTGTAACCTGTATGTTTATTGACATTGCTGTGTCATATTGATGGGCCCATAGTACTTTCAATGATGGCGAAGTTGGCACTGGGCCATGTTAATTGGCCCAGAGTATTTTCAAGGATGGAAAAGTTGGCAGTCCTTGATATGCTCAGCAAGGAGTAGGTAAGTCTGGTTTGGCTACATGCCACGTGACAATGAAGGTGATGATTTTGAAGAGACATCATATTTCATTGCAACAAGCCAATTCAATTAATAAATGTTGCCCTATATCAGCAGAAAATTCCCTGGAATCACCTTTTTTCCAACTCCAAAGCACCATAAGCCTCTAATTTGGCTAATGGTGCTCTTGAGGCACTATCAGGCATTTTATCTGTGGCTTCATTGTTGTGCCAAGCATAGAAAGCATATATCAGTGCATAATATTCACCTTTGTCAGTTTTGGCTTAGGACATGTGGACTGTTTCATCCCTCCTCTTATTAGAATAAAATTCTGAAAATATAGATGTTATACTGATTCATAAAGCCAGGCTCTCACTGCATGAGGGTATTAAATTCCATGCAGAGCTATTCATTTGACATGTCTTTAACACAACTGTATGTTTTCCCTTGTCAACAAGTGTCATCAATGGAATGGTGAAGCACAAAAAACAGGTCATGGTGAGAAAATATTTTGTTCATTTTGCTTGGAAAAAAGTGAGGAAAGGCTGGTGTACATAATAAGTGCAAGTAGATCAGGGAGATAAGGGTAGGAATGCCACTGGGTTGTTTAAAATGCCCAATGCATCTGCTTTTTTCTACCTACAGTGAAAAAATTATATCACATTTCTGCACATCTTTGTGTAAGTGGTTACTCATATTTCTTTTGCTGCTAGCAAACATTTCTTGTTGCAGGACACTGGCATGGGACAATGAATGGGTGTATGCAACAGCCTATTACTGGCTTTTTTCTTTTGTGCTTGCATTCATTTCATCATCTGAATTGTAAGGGCTTAAAAACTATGTTATCCTCAACCCTCACTATCATCTTTCCAATTTGAAAGGAGAGGCACCATAAGGCCACCCCAGGTTATGTGTTGCACACTTGTTTTTACCACCTTTTCTACCCCTTGCACATTTCCAGGTAAACTTTTCTTCCATGCATTTTTTTTATTGTTTCAGAGGCTGTTCCTGTACCAGTTGCCAATGTAACATTGTTTGAGAGGGAAGCACAGTCTGTGGGCTATTGGTGGGCTTAAGGTCCTTTGGTTGTGCCATATGCTATGTTCTGCCTGAGATCCTTGGTAGCTGTATGTTTATACTATGTTGTATATTTGGCCCAAACTAAACATCTTGGTGATCCCCCCCCCCCCCCCATCTGCAAATACATCTGGAGAAAAATGAACTCCTTAACCATCCCTACTGCAGGTTGTTTTCTGCACCATTGTCAGGTTATCCACTTGTGTACAGAAAGCTTACCTTTACTGCTGCTTGATGTAGCTGGAAACAGTAGTCCTGACCGTAAACACTGTTTTTATCTGGCGTGACAAACAGTGCCTTGTTTGTCACAACATTTGACCTATGACTGACCATTGACTTAGAGTAACTTCATTCATGTTAATTTTTCTGTTTACCAGACAGCCTCATGGGAATTCTGCTGTGTTAAGTTCCATAGGTCATCAATTCAGTTTAATGACTCACAAGCCTTTGTGCATTCTGGCACTGAGGCCTGTTCATAGTTTTCTGTCCATTCTGTTCATAGTATGTCCTGTTCATTCTGTTCAGGGCCTGTTCCATTCATTTGATTAGAATCATTACCTGCATGACTTTAACCCTGTTAAACTAGTTTTGTCATACTTGAAAACCATATTGTTTCAAGAAAGTGGGTTTCCATTGAGGTAACATTCAAGCACATACATCTTAAGGGTTTGTTAAAACCACTTTCCATGAAATTCTTACATGGAAAGGCCAATTATCACTGCATACAGGAGAAGTTTTGGTTTGTGTTTGTGCCCTCTGCAGCAAAGCAAATGTACATTGCATTTGGTTACAGCTATATTGCAATTGGCTCTGTGTTTCAAATGCTGCCACAGTACTCAGTCATTATTTTGACTCAAAGTTGCAATGTTACAGAATAACTCATGTGTTGTGATGACCTATAATTGAGAGCTTTCCTCCATCTCCCAGTCTCTCGCACTGTATCAGTCCATATTTCACATTTTTGAATGGCCGACATAATGTATCCATTTGTGAAATGGTGGTATTATTTAAGGGTGAGATCAAACTGAGTTTACAACAAATGTCAACAATTAACAATGCTAGTGTCACTCATTCAGCATAAGTAATCATGAATCAGTTTAATTGAGGCTTTGAATATGTAATGTTGTCCCAATAGTTGTCACTTACACAAGGCCCCAATAGTTGTCATTTATGACTTTCATAAAAGTTGTTGTTAAACTTTGTGACAAACTTCACACCACAGCTTATAAAGTGCATTGTGGAGGGCAAGGTTGGATGACACAATTTAAAATACCTAAGCATAAGACTTCATGTAGATTGGCTTGCTGCTTTGGGCATTTCTTGTCATGAGGCAAATGACCTGTTCTGGTTTCTCTAAATGTGGCTGTTTTTGGCTGTATGTATGCATGAAACACAATGAGGTCAAACTCATCTTGAATGCCATCATTATCTTACCTACCAATAGCTGATTCACACCCTTCTATTATGTCAACAACCAGGCAGAACAACAAAATGTGGGTGCATGCGACGTCATTGCTAATGAATTATGGACCACGCCGAAATAAAACGTCGATTTTAAAAGTACCTGGTGTTTCAGTGTCACTTTCTCGGCATAGTTTGGCCTTTTCCACTAAAAGCGCGCATTGAATGCCTTTGATTGGCGAGCGTATGGGATCGTGGCGACCGTGTCCTCATTTTGCGTAGCTTCTGGCGGAAAAGATATGCATTCTCAAAGTGTTGTGGCATGTAGATTATCAGCCGCTAGACCCTCAGCAGCACGCGCGGTAGCGCTGGGGCGCCTCCACTCATTGCGGCGCGAGCGCGAGCAGCACCACAGCCGAGCGATTTCCCGTCCATGGGAACTCCTTGAGGCCGGGGTCGTCAGGGCACGCATTGACGCGGGTCACCGCCAGGTTCAACGTCATCCCTCAACCAGTGTGTTACGGTGAACAGTGCGCATGCGCTGTTCGGGTCAGACCCGGGCCGTATTAAGTTAGAGATCGTCGTCCGTACCATGGGCTCGCATTCCCAGGCGTCTGTCGGCCATTTACTTGTGCGCTTTGTCAGCGTGAGTGCGACGGGTTCGAAGTGTCATTGGTAACTGGACCAAAAATGCCCTGCCGCCGCCCTGTTGACAACGGGCTCAGTTTGTCACCGTGCGGCAGGACCGCCGGTCTGCGTTCTTACAAGATCACAACCTGTTTTCCCCCTGACAGTGTTCCAATAGGCAAGCCCAGATCTGTGGGATAGAGATTCAGTAGTCCCATTAGTTGCCGTAGTGGACAGTTGTCATTCTTGACACTGCCAATTTTCCAATGATCTCTGATGAATATGAGTGAATATGAATATTTAATCTGTATATTTGAATGAAATATGATTTTCGCACGGGTATGGGGTTTCTGCTATTTCTAACCAACGCAAACTGCTATTACTAACCAATACGAGCTGCTATTACTACCACCAGCTTACACTTGTCAGGTATTTTTTGCTTCACCTTTTGCTTTCAAGTGCTCAGTTGTTTTTGCTTTATTTTTCACAAACATGGACTGTCGCGAGTTACGGCTCGTTTTATAACACGGGTGGCAACTTCGGGTTGATAGAGTTGCGAAAATTTGGGGTGGGAGCACTCCTGGTGCCCTGGGCACGGACGACTGGTGGAATCAACCGCGGGGACTCCCTGATGGATGTTTTCCGTTGATCGCCTCAAGCACGTTTTCCGAAGACAACACTACAGCTATCTTTCATATCTTGCGCCACGTAAGACAGGGGTCAGTGACCGGGTTTGTCATAAGAATAAGCTTACGAAATTGAGTTCGCAGAAGGAATGTGTTAGTCCCGGGCCTATTAAGTTTGCAGAAAGAATACATGTCTATTGTGGCGCACGATCGCAGCTTAGACATGGCAGAGAGCGGGAGATGATGTTCAGCACTATAGCTGTATGTCTAGCCGCGCTCCACCGAGCAGCCCAGACCGAGACACCACGCCGTTGAAGCCTTGGAGGAGCCAATACACTCGTTTGCTGTACGTATACATCGTCCGTGTCGTCTCGTTCGTCATGACCGGAGCTGACATGACCTGAGCACCGCCGCGGTCTGGATGCGTACCGCCGAGTACCCGAACCGCTGCGGTCCTGTGCCGTGACCTGACCTGACCTGACCTGACGCGACCTGACCGCCACTGCAGCCTGGAAAGACACGTGTGTGACACCCAGGCCGGTGCAGATATGTGCTGTGACCTTATTGGAACTGACCTGATCTGTCGTGACCCGACCCGCCATGTACTGAGGTGCCCTGCCATGACCTGACCTGGCCGGGCCTGATCGCCTCTTCAGTCTGGAAGGGCACGTACGGAACACCGAAGCTGGCTTGGACGCGGGCTGTGATCTAATTGGACCTGACCTTACTTGGCATGTCATTATCTAACATGACCTGACCTGTCATGCCTTGCCCTGACCCGACCTGACCTGACCTGACCTGCCAGGACCGGTGCTACAGGATGGAGGGACAGGTTGCACATTCAGGTGTGCGCAACATCCGGGCCGCTGCGATGGTACGCTGTGACCTGACCTGACCTGACCCGACTGCCGTTGCAGCCTGGAGGAGCGCGTGCGGGACCCGGACCGGCGCAGCCGGCTCCAGCAGCTGGAGGATGACCTGCTGAACGCCCGCTCCGTGCTCAATGTCGACTGCCTGCTGGACTCGGTGCAGGCGCTGGTGGCCGACAGCGACCATCCGGCCATCAAGCGCATCAAGAACATCGACTCCTTCCTCGCCCGGTGAGAGGGCGGCGGCCGGCGGACGGGTGGGACGAGACGCTGCCGTCGCTGGGAGGCGGCGCGAGCTAGCGAGCCGCGTCTGAGTGTCTGCCGCTGGTCTAGATGTGGTCGTGAGCACGCGAAATTTTATCGCGCAGTGTGACGCCGGCCTTTTTCTTTTTCATCGTAGCTGAACGCGTGCTTGGATTTTGGACCGATGTATCGCATGTTTCGCATGCATACTGGTATATTTCTCAGTGACCCTACCTTGACGTTAACGTGGCCCGACCACGAGCAGACAATGACTTATGCGTGATCCGACTCCATGCTCTATGCGTGACCCAACTCCACCCGACGTGCGCCTGACCTGGCCCTGACGTGACGATGTGACGGCGGCTCGCCTGTGACGTGGTCGGTCTGCGGCCGCAGGTATGGTGGCGCCGCACGCACCATCGAGAATCGTCGCATGCGCGCCGAGGACTTCTCGCTGATCAAAGTGATAGGCCGCGGGGCGTTCGGCGAGGTTCAGCTGGTGAGTGGTGGAGCGCGGCCATCTCGCGGCGCCCTGGTGCCGTGACCGCCTCCCGGCCACGACGTACTTTTGTCCCTGCTTCCCCCCCCCCCTCCCTGCCGCTTCCCTGCCTTTCATAACTCTGTCTCCTGCTCCGTCTTCTTGTCTCTGAGTCTGTGCTCCTTCGTTCGCATCGCTCCCGGTCTTGATCTTTTCCACATCCGTCTTTGTCGTTGTTTATATATCTGCCTTTGTCGATGTATTTGTCCGTGCCTTTCATTCCCTGCCTGTTAATGTTCGGTGTACAGATGATATCCTTTGTGTCTTTGTGACACAAAAGCTCGCCTCCCCTCCCCTTCCGCCACCTCCGTCTTGAGCGCCATCTGCCTCATCCCCAGCCGCCCCCCTCCCCCGGCCCCGGCAGCGCGGGCGCCCCGGCGGCGATATCCGGCACCGTCAGAGGCCCGCCTCGCTGCGCCGTCCCAACACTGTCCTCTCGCTTCGGGCGCCGCGCGCGCGCACGTCGTCGGTGTGACGTCACCACATCCCGGACCCGCCTGCAGATAGCGGCTGCGCTGATAGCCCATCCCTCCCCTCCGGCTCCGCCGCGACCCGGGCATGCTCATGTCGGCACACGCCCCCCCCCCCCCCTCCCCCACCCCCTCCCCGTCCCTCTGTCAGTCGGTAGGGTGGCCACGGCGCTCTGTGGTCAGTGGATCGAATTGAAATGACATGCCGGCCTGGGGCAGGGTATGGGTGGGGGCGCGAAAGGTCACGCGTGCTCCGGCCTGCCGGGTTGATATATTGGCGGTCGAGATCAGCGCTGGTTTGTGGCTAGATGTGATTGGGTGATCAATTTGGGCGGATCAGTTGGATCGTCGCATCGGATGTCAGGACTAGACCCAGCGGTGGGACGGCGCGGAAACGGCTGTCTCGGTGCGGTGGCACGTGACAGTAAAAGGCCACGCTCTCATGCGGATGGCAGTGACGCAACGTTCCCTTACCCGCATCAGCCTACATTGTGTGCCGTTGACCACGGTCGGAAACGGGCTTCTGTCGAAATATGTCCGTGGAATGCACCGACCGGCTGACCCTGTCAACGGGATCGCAATCGATGGCACGCGCCGTGCTCGCCGCCGAGAACTGGGCACGCTGCCAACTGACCGTCCTCGCCGCCGCCGTCAGGTTCGGCACAACTCCACTCGGCAAGTGTACGCGATGAAGCTGCTCAGCAAATACGAGATGGTAGGTGGCCGGGCCAGGCCGGCGTCGACTCGGGCTCGGGCTCGGGCTCGGGCTCGGGCTCGGGCTCGGGCTCGGGCTCGGGCTCGGGCCCGGGCTCGGGCTTGGGCTTGGGCTTGGACTTGGCCTTGGCCTTGGTCTCAGGCTCGGTCTCGGCCCCCCTCGCGTCAGACGGTGCGCCCGACCGCTCGCAACGCTGCTGACTGGACGGCGGCCGTGTTTTGTGTCGGCGCCGCCGCCGTCGGCCGTGCAGAAGTGACCGCGGCCGGCTGGGAGAGCGCACCGGCCGTGGATCGTTGCCGACCGCCGGCGGCGGGGCGTGCGGTGTGGAGGGTGTGAATCAGGCTGGCGGCCCGCCGCGGCAGCCATGGCGCGGCACGCGGCGGCCGGTGACGCACGTTCGCGTCGCGCTGCCGCCGACCGGCCAGGTCATGTCCGGCTGGCGGTCGGGGTCGTGTTCGGTCCGCGTCACGCCCTCCGGGTCGGCCGGTGTCACCATCTGCCGCTCTGCGTGATGGCCTGCCTGAGCAGCACGTGGCCCGTTCATGGTCACGGCGAACGGCGAGGTTCGCAGTGTTGTATGTTATCTTCGCCTTTAATCTATTTGCCCTTCATGTGGACGCCAAAAAACTTTTTCCTAAGCGAATGCTCACGCTTTTGTACCGCCCTTTGGATTTTAGGTCATGGCATGCATCAGCCAGCCAAAGAGCAAAGCTATGATGACACTCATTGCGAAGCGCGTAACCTTTTATGTACGATTGTATGGCGGTGCTGCCGTCGGTACACTGTGAACAACCGATGCGTTCACAACGGCGTAGAACATGGGGTTCCCTGCGCGCGTCGCGAGGAGTGATGAAAAGTAGAAGTGTTTACTTTAGTACAAGGGGAAACAAGAAGTCAAAGCAGAATAGTTGACGGCTCACGCCCTTCTCCGGCGCGCAGATCAAGAGGTCGGACTCGGCCTTCTTCTGGGAGGAGCGCGACATCATGGCGCACGCCAACTCGGACTGGATCGTCAAGCTGCACTACGCCTTCCAGGACTTCCGCTACCTCTACATGGTGATGGACTACATGCCTGGTACGTGGCAGAGCTATACCTACCTCTAGCGCCTGGCCCCGGCTTTGCAGAGGCGGTGCCTGGAGCCCCAGTCGTCATGCTGCAGGGGGGGGGGGGGGGGGGAGATCGAACGAACAAGACCGCTTCCCCGACTGGGTTGTAGGTATGACAGGTAGTTTCTTTGGTCTGTCATATCTAGGCTTTGTGGCCTCGTGACCCAGTGCTAGACAGCGGCGTATGCGTGGGTGGGCGTGGCATGCATCACGTCTGAAAGGTCGTGTTAGGGGGACGCGTTACTAGCCGTACAAATATTTATCTACGTGCGATCGATGCGAAAGGTTACGGCGCTAATAGCCACAGCAGCGATAAGTGTCGTTAAATAATCGATTGGCCGAAATAGCGACGTCGTAAAATAATCGCAAGGCCGAATGGTGACGTTTGCTTGTAATCTTCGCCATGGCGTAGCGCCTCAGCCGACTTTGTTTCGGCAGCCCTGTAGCCCAGTGCAGGTGTCAGGCGCAGAGATTGCGGCCGATACTGTGGCGGTCCGTTGAGAGTT